CGGCGGCGGCGGCGGCGGCGCTGGCGCTGCGATCAACATGGCCGACATTTCCCCTCCGCGGCGTGAGCGGCAGCAATGAACTGTGGGGGATATTTATTCAAGTTAGCCCGAGTGACAGCCGGGCCCGGCCGCGCCGAGCCCCGGTTTGCATTAAAGGGGAATCGCTCGGTTGGCCAAGGATCCGGATGGGGGGCTGCGAGGCTCGGGCTTCTCAGATTCGTCCGAAGAGGGCCGCGCGGGCCGGGACGGTGGGACAGCTGTAGGTTAACTTCAGAAGTCCTGCTCTCTTCTGCTTTTCACCAGTACCTTCTCATCCCCACATTTTGGTTTTTAGGTTAGGTAGTAAATTTCCCGGTGAAGTTATAAAGTGTTAAGGCTGTTAACTACCAAAAGCTATAAGAGTAAGTAGGTTTTTTTCTTGGTCACCTTTGGAAGAGTTTCCTCAGCGGTGATACAGTATTAACACGTTAACCAAACCGTACCAACCAAAAGTGAAGCAGTTACTTGCTGAACGTCAGATTATAACGGCTGTCCGTGTGTACATGGCTGAAAAAGATGAAAAAAAAAATTCTTACATTTTTCTTTTCAGGCTGGATGGAAAGAAAACCATGCAACGTTTATGAATGAACTGAAAAACCTTCAGGCTGAAGGACTTACGACTCTTGGCCAATCCCTAAGGACAGCTTTTGATTTATTAAATTTAAATAGATTAGTAACTGGCATAGACAACTATGGGCAGGTAGGTTGAATATTAAGGTGGAAAAGTAGTTGAATTTTCTTTTTGTGGAAAAACACAGTCTAGTCCAAAAACTATACATCATGAAATGCAGGTATAAAACTTTTCAGATTCAAATACAATATGCACATAACACAGAGGTGTGAAACTCTCAATCTCCTGTATGTGGTTTTACATCCCTCATTTTTTTCCCATTGAAATGCATTTTTATTCAGAATTAGAATCTGAATTGTTTGCTCTAAAGTTGACATGAATTTGTTTTTAATCCCTTGGAAGTTCACTAAAGATATAAAAGAGGGAAACATCCTGCCTCACCATACTCAGTTATTCTGAAACTTTACACACAGGCAAGTGTGCAGCTATTGCAATGGCTTAGCGACACCAGTTGATTAGTGGTCTTTATTTCTGTATTAGTCAGTAAAAATGTTAGAGACAATTATTGTTAGTTTCATCAGGGTTTAATTTAACCATATTGTATAACCACTTTGAAAGGTAAGAAGAATGCTATAACTAGCTGAGTACATTAGGATTTCTCTTCTTATAGCATACACAATTAGCAACTATTGCAGGAGGAATTCGGAATTAAATGGCAGGTCCAGAGTTTTGTTTTTTAGTATTTAAACTCCAAATCCTTGGAAAAAAGGCTGTTGAAAATATGAAAGAATCCTTTTCTGAACCCCCTCAAATCCCTCTGTTGTGTTTGCTTTCATCTATTTGAGGATGAGACAAGAGCTTTAAATCACACAATGGTTCACTAAGAAATAATACAAGGTGGTCCATTATAACTTTTTATGATATTGTTACCCTGGAAATAAAAAACACTGAAAAATATGTAATGTTACATGTAACAAAGGAATATTATACCCAAGGAGTTCAATTCTTATGTTGAATTGCAAAGCACTAATACCATAATGATATATTTAAGTATACGTTGTGTTCTTTTTCCAAGTTCCGTAATCCACATTTTTCATGACTTTCACACATTTCAGGGAAATTCTTCCTGTGACTACAACTTTTATTTGCTTTATATAGAAGGAAATGGAATTGTTCCCTTGTTTTAGCAATTTTTATGCTTTTCTTCTTAGGGATAACTATACACTGCCTAAGCATCTTTGGAAATGGTTGAATTTAGTCCTATAGCATTTAAAGATATACATTGCAATTCAGTCACTATTGAATTGCACATTCATCATTTAAGTAGGTATATGTATATGTTCTTACTATGTTGATAATTTTATTATTTTCTTCCCTTCTCTGTGCTGCTTTATTTTGCAGCTCTCAGTAATTTAGGTAGATTTACCATGAACCTTTTGGTTTGTTTCTGTAACGTAATAATTGATTTCTTTCTCTTTCATATTTCTTTGTTTTATGTAGTGCTACATAGTCTTATTGCTTAAGATTTTGGTCCAGACTTAAGTTCAAAGACACATTTGAAACTTGCCATTGTTTGGTTTCCTTATTTGGTTGTCAGGTTGTCAGTGTGTAGCAAAACTATTAATTTTCTGTTTTCTGCATCACATTTCATAAGTGGGAAAGGCATTTGGACACATTCACCTCCTACCACCTATTAAAAAATATTTCTTAGGGTGTTTCCTTAGAAAAACTGCTTGTCATGGAGAGGCTGAGGACATTTGTAACTTAACCCCATATTTTCCTTTTCCTAGTTGCCATCTTCCACCAGAGAACACTTTGGTTTTTGTCAATAAAGCTTACAAAAAGTTTGAGGTTGAAGGTGGTCCTGTTGTGCTGTTACCACTTTGTGCAAGAGAAGATCCTGGAGATTGTGATGTTTTTACATGTTAGGGTTTATTAATTCAACAACAGGGAGGGATAATGCTTCTGAATTATTTTGATGAATAAGTAAGGATGCAAGGAGTAATACTAATGCTTATGTCCTAAATTGGCACATAAAAATGACACTAGCATTAAAATAATTTAAGAAGCCACATTTTTCAAATACAACTGATTATTGGAGTAAAGTTTTCAATTAGAAGAAAACATCTTTGCAGAAGATTTTTTTCATAAACTATTTCTCTTGCTGATTTACATTTCCTATTCATAAAAAGGGTAAATTATCAGGAATTTTAGATTTATCAAATATTTAGTGCTAAATACCATTCATATGTTTTTTTCTTAGTAAAAGTATTTTGTATCTGCCTGTTTTCTGTGGAATGTCTTAATTCTGTAACCTCAGTGTTTTCATATATACTTACCCTATCATGCTCTATAGTCGGATCTGTGGAACCCACAGTACTAAATACTTGTATGTAATCTCAGTAGTTAAAGGATATGAGAAAAGGCGAGTTAGACGGACAGAGCTTATCTATTTTATAGAGCATTTAAACAACTTTGTATAATAAGATTCTGAATTATTTTCTTTTAAAATATCTAAATATGGGTTAATGTGTCTATATTTGTATATTTACATAGCTAATCTCCCGCCTCCCACATATATGCACATATGTGATTTTCCATAACCACTTGCAAGAGTATTAATATCTATGTTGCATTCGTTAATTTAGTTACCATACCTACAAATAAAAGTCCTGAGATATTTATTATCTAGGTTGTTATTAGAATTTGCAGGATATAAGTAAGGTTAAAGTAGCTGAGAAAGAATGATTCTTCATGAATGTTTTCCTCAAGCACTTTGGATAGCCTACTAAAAAATTCTGTGCCTGTAGAAGTCCTAATAAATATTTAATTTTGATAATCAGTACCATTTGCTGATATTTCCACAGTCATGGAACAATGTGTAGCCTCTAGTCAGTCTTTTCCTTTATGGCAGTACCTTATTAAATTGCTTATCATTGCAGATAAACTTGATATATATTTTTTCCACATGTGTTCAACAGAGTTTCAGATAATGCTGATCCTTTGAGAGCCACTGAAAATCTAAATCATATCTAAATCTAAATCCTTAATATCTAAAATTAGGGAATATATAACGTTTTAGATGTCTGATTAAAGTTTTGTATGTAGATCAGTTTATTTTGTAATGTTCTAAATCATTCTGTTTTCCATCAGTGCTTTCAACATTGCCTTTTTTTTTTTTTTTTTAAAGTTAGGTTCCAGTTAGGATTAGCTGCTAAATCTTATTCTTGCCTGCAGTTCATCATTTTTTGTCACTGGCCTGACTGCACACCCCTACTACCCAATATGCTAGTACTGATTAGATTGTTCCAGGACTTAGAATGTTACTTGACTGATTTACTGTGTACCCTCCCGTGAAGATAATCCTTGACCAGTATTCTAAAAGGAAATAAAATATGTGTTTAATTTTCTGAGGATTTCAGTGGTGAGTGTTTACCTCATTGAAAATGGTGGCTTTTAGACAAGATCAAATTGAATGATACTTAGAGAGAAGAATTTTAACCAATTTTATTCATCAACATAAAGGTCTATTTGTGAACTTAGCAGATAATACAGGTAGAGTTCTAATACTACTACTTTTTCCCCTTTACCCAAGTAGTACCTATTTAGTACTCAGTACAAAATACAGGCTTCTCTTTTAATGTTGGCAGGAGAAGTAATGAAAACTTGATTCCTGTTTGGCTTTTAGGTTTCCCTTAGGCTACCAACAAATGTATTAATAATAATTTGGTATTTATTAAGCTATAGGCATATTTTCAAATGAAAGTAGATTACTATACCTGAACATGAAAATGAACACGAACAAGTGCTGAATAAGAACTGGAAACAGAATGGTGAATGGTATTTTGTAAATTTTTTAAGTCCCTCTTAAAAAAATTATTAAATTATGGTAAAAAACACATAACAAAGTTTACCATCTTAACCATTTTTAAATGTGCAGTTCCATAGTGTTAAGTGTATTCACATTGTTGTGCAACCAATGTCCAGAACTTTTTCATCTTGCAAAATTAAAACTCTGTACTCATTTAACAGTAACTCCTCATCTCCCAGCACTTTGCAATTGCTATTCCACTTGCTTTTTTAGTGAATTTGATTACTCTGGATACTTCATGTAAGTGGAATCATACAGTATTTATCTTTTTGTGAATATCTTATTTCACTTAGCATAATGTCCTCAAGGTTCATCCATGGTTATAGCATGTCAAGGATTTTTTTCCTTTTAAGGCTGAATAATATTCCATTATATGTATGTATGACATTTTGCTGACCCACTCATCTGTTGGTGGTCACATGGGTGGCTTCCACCTCTTTGCTACTGTGAACCCCCTCTGTGAAGAACATGGGTGTGCAGATATTTCTTTGAGGTCCTGTTTTCAATTCTTTTGGATATAAACCCCAAAGCAGAATTGCTGGGTCATATAATAATTCCATTTTAAATTTTTTGAGAAAGTACCATACTGTTTTCCATAATAGTTGCACCATTTTACATTCCCACCAACAGTGCACAAGGGTTACAGTTTCTCTACCTTGCCAACACTTGTTCTTTTCTGGGTTTTTTTTAAATCAACCATCCTAATGGGTGTGAGGTGATAACTCATTGTGGTTTTTATTTGCATTTCCCTAATTATTTTGAGCATTTTTTCATATATTTATTGGCCATTTTTATACTCTATTTGGAGAAAGATCTATTCAAGTCCTTTGCCAGTTTTTAAATTCAGTTATTTTTTATCGTTGAATTGTAGGAGTTCTTTATGTATTCTGGATGCTAATCCTTTATCAGATTTGCAAATACTGTCTCCCATTCTGTGGGTTGTGTTTTCACTCTGTTGACTATATCCTTTGATGCACAGAAGTTTTTAATTTTTTTTTTTTTTTCCTTTTTTTGTCTTTTTTCGTGTCTGGCAACGGATCGCAACCCTCAGTGTCGCGCCCGTACCGGACCAGACCGGCAACGGGATCGCAACCCTCGGCGTCGCGCCCGCACCTCGCTCAGCCAGTGAGCGGGAACCGGTCTGTATGTGGGATCCGAACCCTCAGCGGGAGCGCTGCCGCGCTCCCAAGCGGCGCACTGTAGCAGTGCGCCACCGGGCCGGCCCCAGAAGTTTTGATTTTTGATGTAGTCCATTTTT